CCTCTTCCACCTCCTTCCTGCCTCTTTTGCCACGGGGGCATTTCGGGAGGAGGGGGCTCAATCTCCGTGGGTCTGCCGCCGCGGTCCGGCACGCGCCCCATCAGAACCTGCACCGAGAGAACAGCCGGCGTTCAGGTCAGCTCAGCATACCCACATCCCGCCCTTCTTCTCTTTTTTCCTTTTTTTTTTTGTAGACTAAGAACTACTACCACTTAATTTTACGCTGAATGGAATCCCTTAGCAGTGAGAGTCGGGTCATTATCTGGGAATGAGGCCGACCCTCTGGAGGAAGGATTATCGCTCATCGGGTTCTGCTACGCAAGGGCCGAGGGACACGCAGGCTGCCCGGGGACCAGCCGCTGTTCCTGGGTTTGTGCCGCCTTCTGAAGCTGCTGTTTGAACAGAGCAGCTCGGCAAAGAGAGAAAAAACCCTCTGGCCCCTGCCTCCTGCCTCCACTCTTCCTTCTCATCTAAATCTACTGTCTACTCTCTTACCCCGTTGCATGGTTCACTGTCTAACAAAACAAAAAAGTTGTTGCAACATTATTCAAAATGCTGCAAACTTACTTTTCTTAAAGCATCAGGCATAATTTGCAAAAATGAATGACAAGTAGTAACTTAGGAATTACAATTCTCTCTCTGCTTACTAGTGGTAGACTAGCAAATTCCCACCGTCCCTCAACACATTAAAGAAAGAAAGAACATACCCCTTTAATGAGAGAAAGAAAGAGCATACCTTGTTGATAGCACAGACTGTATTTTCCCGTGTTGACCCACTGCTTGTTCGTATGATCTTTGATAAGTCTTCTCGAGCAGCAAGGAGATGAGCTAACGTAATAGTTGACTTGGGAGATAACGCATAGCGCTTGGGCTGGTAGATTCGTGCTATGTCATCTGTTTTTACCTAAATGATAAAAAACACCCAAACGTAACTGATTTATTGGGCAGGCAACCTGCAAACACTTACTGTAAGGCATGCATCAGGCTCAGCAATTATAATTACCCAGGATATTAAAACTTGGACAGGATGAATAACTTAGATGAAAATCTAAGCAATCTTACAAAACACAGTGCAAGTTATTATGGTGCAAGTTATCACCAATTCTTTCCCTATCAATTAAGCTATTGCATAAAGGAAAAAAAATAAAATAAGAAAACCAAGAAATGCTGCTGCTGTTGCTGCTGTGTAACTGATGCTGCAGCCTAACATCACCACAACCAAAACTCACATATTCACTGCAATCAGATTCTTTGATGTCTTCCAACTTGTCCAAAGACTAGCAATTCGAGTCTAACTCTCTTGAGAGTAGTTCAATAGCAATGGTTAACAGAACACTGCAAAGTGTGAGGCAAATAGAACGGCTTCAAAGAAAGGTCAGTCGATGGGAAGTTAAAACAAACAAACAAACAAACAAACAAAAAAAAAAAAAAAAAATCAAAGCAAAATACCTACACCAGGCATGAAAAACTGAGATTTAGAAGGACAGAGCATTTGACTTTTCTGAACTCACTTTGATGCCCTGTTTAACAAAAGAAGAAGAAAAAAAGCCCTTCCACTTTCTGGGAACACCTAGTATCCTCTTCAAGGTACATAAGCATTTATCTTGGATGGACGGATGGATCAGAGAGTGGCTGCGGCTCCTTGGCATCCCTCTTTTGCCAGGCAATTACCATGCCATTTGCACAGCCATTTAAACCTGCAAGATCCACCTTTTGGTGGGACTGCACATGTGAAAAAGCCATTATCCAAAGTCGAGTCCATTGGGATAGGTATTTGTACTTATTTGGTACAATGAAAAATAAACAGAAAAGGAAAGCAGCAAATAGAAAGGACAATAGTCTCTTGGCTTAAAAAAGTAAAGTTATTTCTAACTCAAAATGATTTCCATCTCTAAATGCTTCCTGGAGAATTTGCAAACCAGGATTTTTACAATAACAATAAGAGGGAAAAAAAGAGAGTAAAAAATAAGAAATTTTGAATTCATGCATGACATATTTTAGCACCTGCATGCTGTTTTGCAGACATCTTTTTAAAACAGAAAAATAAATTATCTCCCCATCTTTACTTAGTATCTTTACCATCATGCTTAATTTATGCTCAATTGTGCAAGTGAATTCACGATTTTTAATATCTTTTGAACAGAACAGTACCAAGTGACTCAAGATCTCAGTTCAGTTAAGCAAGAATAATCAATTAATGTCTTAGAAATACACTTTAAATTTGAAAATTAGTAGTTGTATTGCTAGAGCTTTAAGAAAATTACATATGCAGAGGAATCCCATGGCACCTGCAAGCTAAATTCCTCCATTTTTCCTGTCTTACACTATAAAAGCTTCCACTGTGGAAATGATTCTGATTTTTTCTGTGTTTCTATCCAAACATACTTTAAAAGCAGCACAGAAGAATCTAGACTCGTGTCTTCCAGTGGCATTTAAGGAGCCGTATTAAACAGACTGCTGCACTTGTCAGCACCACTTGTGACATGAGAGACTTTTAACAATCCATACTTTGAGCTAACTTTGAAAGCTTTCAGGCTTGTCCATCTTGAGCTCTCACACAAGCCTTCTGTTGGAAGGAAAGTTGATCTTGCAGTTCATAGAGCAAAACCATCTCCCTTCAGCTTCCCACAGATATATTCATCAATTTATTAACTTTTCATAGTGTATTTCCCCAGCTTGTAAGACTGAAGCATCATCCATTTCTATCTCAGATATATAACAGATTGGTTAACTTTTTCTTTGTTTTTTTTTTTTTAACATATAGAGTGTCACAAAACAGTACAAAGAAATCATTACATTTAAATGACACCAACAAACAATATCCACAACAGTAATTAAGAAGTTTCGGCCAATGGAAGCATTATGAATAATTGTGTGTTTTTCTCATAAAAGTTGTTATTCAAGTGGTCTGTTTAATCACTATCTTTTAACCTAGGAAAAGCAGCAGCCACTATAATAATCTGACTTTGTGGGCTGTTGTTCTTTGCACCCAGTCTATTTTATGGCCTAGTGTTTCTCTTCCTCTTTCATTTGCCACAAAAACGCTCAAGTTTCTTTCTACTTCGTATGATTGCAGGCAGGTAGATAGAGCAAAAAAGGGGAGGGGGCAAACTTAAATTATCAAATGAAAAATCCAGACAGGTTGAAATTTATACTTGCAGACCTATAAACAATTACAAAAGACTGTCAAAAAAGACTGTCATTTGACTGTCATCCAGTCAAATCTTTCATTTTCCTCAATATCTACAGCTTGGATGTAACGACTCGTGATAAGAAACTGTCTGGAAAGAAGACAGCTGCCACGGAAGCGCTTTTACATGCTATAAATACCCAGTGAGAAGGCCAGGGCAACTGTGGTAGACTCCCCTCAAGAGGGAGCAAGAAGCAGCGCAGCGCTCACCTTCGCTCTGTCAGACCAGCCAAAAGACTGTACTGTCACATCCAGCCTCTTCATCAGCATCCGGCGGCGACACTCGTACTCACTTCGAAGAGCATCGTTGATTTTTTCCAGTCTTTCCTGCAGCGTTACAATAAAAAGCACCAATATTCAACTCCATAAAGATGCACAAGTCAAGAACAAATTAATCCTGTCGGCAATTACGATGGCTGATCCTTGGTGACCATTACAACTACATAAATACAACAAATAAATCAATAAAGTGAAGAGAGGTTTTCTTACCACTTGACCAGAATTCAGAGGTTTTGTTAGCAGGGATTTTCCCACATGATTATTTTGAACTTTTGAGAGAATATCCTTTATCTGAAACAAAATGCATAGTACAACTCAGAAAACGGTATTTACATTTATTTTAGCACAGTTTGCTGCAATCACAGCTGAATTGGAAGGTAGGAGTTTCACTGCCTATGACAGATAGGTTTCATTTAACACGACTTTCTACTCCCTCCAAACCAGCCTTGCATCAGCACCTTGCTGCTTCTCTTAGTTTCTTCCGTTAATTTCTATTCGGGGCCAACTGATTTTTTAGGTGCTACATGTATGTTATTGTTCCTGCAAGTTATGAACACAGTCTCGTTGGGAGCAGTACTGAATCTTCATTTGCTTTTATAAAGAAACAAAGGAAAGCAATTCAAACACGACTATAACTACCGTTAATTTTCATTTACATGTCACAAGGAAAGATTAAGGTAATACACAAACTACAGTAAAGTAGTACAAGACAAGTACAAGTAGAACAGTACAAGAACTACTGTAGTTGAAGTCATTAGTTACATTCCCAAGGGATAAGATTTCATGTAAGCATACATTTACATTACAATTTATCATAAAGACAGAGTCCAAAGCTCACTCCTCTAATGTTATCTTACTCTGTCAGAGTTGTCATATTATACATATTCTATAAATATTGTCTGCAGAGATCTCTAAAAACCCTGGACACAGATCAAATTCTATAGCATCTAGTTTGTTGACTGAAAAAGGTACTTGCATGGGAGCATTTGATAAATTGACTCTCTCATTTCATACTGTTATTACGGTATGATATAATATTGGTATACAGTACTGTATAATATTATAATAATAATACAATATTATAACGTATTGATATATGGTACGGTATAATATTACTTTTTTCTTTCGTTTTTTTGCATGTGCCAAGAACAGAACCTGATCTCCAATTCTATGTGAAAAACAAGGTGCATATTTTGCCTTTCCATCACCTCTGTGAAGTACACAGCAATTTAAAAACAGAATTACCCCGGCAACACCACTTGAAGCCAACCACCTCATGCAGTGAATAAATTATGTCAAAATACAGTGGGTTTCACAGCAGCTAAAAGACAGCCTTGCAGCTTGTCAAGAGTGACCAATCTGTACCACAGTATTCCCTGTGCTACTTAATTTCATCCATATGAAAAAGGGCCCTGCAACAAGGACAGAAGTTCAGACCCATCTAGATACTCTACTGATCTCTATGCTCTTCTTCCTCCAGTTATTATCATTGCAACCTTTGTTTTGTTTACAAAAAGCCTTTCAGGGATGTCTAGGATGGACGCTTTCCCCATATAATCCGCATACACTCAGATTAACCCCCACCTGGTAAGGTGCTTTACAGCTGTACAGCACAAGAGGATATTTAGGAACCGTGATTCTGAATAGGATCTACAGATCAGAGTTAATGCAGATTTGCTGGATAAGAGCAGCTAAGAGAGAAATACAACTCCAAGCTCCACAAATAAAGGGAATACATCTTGTGGGAAGAATGCGATCAGAGCTAAAATACCCAGGCCAGCACCGTGCATTCTTCACTACTGTAAAATGGAAAGTGAAAGTAATTTATAGAGATTGATAAAGGAAATGAAGCAGAAACCACTTGATCGGGAAAAAAATAAGTCAATATTATCAGAGAAAAGTTACATTTCTCTAAAGAAAAAGCAAAGATAACATATTTAAATGAAGTATTCAGAAGAAGCTAGATGGTTGGAGAGTAATTTGATGTCTAGAAAACATCATGCTTTATATGGCACTTGACAAAACAAAAACAGAGCAAACACTGGGCCACAACCACAGGAAACAGGAAGAACTAAATGAAAGAATCATGTGGACTGCCCAACTGCCCCAAATTTCTTCAGTCTTGATTTTAATCCACAGATAATTTCATTAATCAAGTAGCACCCAAGGAAGAACCTTTCCACTGATAAACAGGCCCAGGTTTGTGTTTGGATAGTCTGGATATGACTGAAAAGTCATACTGGCTTCTGCATAAAACCTCAGTGATAATGGCTGTTTTTGCACATTTCCATATTTTCTTATTTGCAGACTGATCCACAATAGTCAGATGAGCTACAAAATGAACCCTGCTCACCTATCATCTCACAAGTAACTATTTTAAATGATCTCCCTTCTATGCCATAACTCAGACGCAAACCAATACCTGAATTTAAGCTGCCACAAGGAAGCCATAGACAGTTTCAGTCAAACACTAATCAAACAAACAATCCAAACATATCCTCAGAATAGTACCTCACATCATGAATTACCAAGTGTCACAGTTTTTAGTAACGTTTTGACTTTTTTTTCTGATTTTTTTTTTGCCTATTGTTGCACTAAACATTTTTCATGCTACTCTGCTTTCAGTATTCTGGTAACTGTTACATCTTAAAATTTATTACTGGTGATAATTAAATATTGAAACTGCTGGTCTCATATTGATTCAAATGGCACTAAAAATAGATCTAAGAGGTATGTTGATCCATAAGGAAATTATATATTGAAGCAATAAGGAACAGATCAACAAATATGCAGCAAAGCTACGTAATTGTAAAACAATAACCGAATGTTTATCCTCCTATAGCATTCCTGACAAAGCCAACAATTAGCTTAATGAAAGGCAATTTCAAATTCTACCCCTTAGTTTACATGTACTCTCATTCTGTAATAAAACCAACAACTGGAATTGGCTACTCCTAGAAGAGTTATGTTTTTTGGGGTTTTTTTTTGTTTGTTTTTCTCTCTCCTCTCTCTCTCTCTCTCCTTTTTTTGAGGGGGGTAGTTTCTTACTTTCTGTTGTAATACCTGGTTTAGATTACCTGTGTAATCTGTCTACTTGAATAGAGTTAGAAGCATGAACTATCTAGTTGTCTGAGCAGTTTCCGTGGGGCTTTTAAAAAATAAAAAGTAACTGAGCTCTCCTGGTTGACCACAGAGCCCCTGCATCTTCTTCATTTTGAGAAGAAGAAAGGAGAACAAAGAAAAGGCACCACAAATAAGTCAATTTGTCAGCCCTGGTTACTTATGTCATATGACTTATCAAATATTTCTGTGCATCTGCCTATGCTTGGGTTTGCTTCCTTCACCCATCTGGCAGACCACCCCTCAGACCCTTGAAGAAGGGAAATATGCAGGAACACGTCAGTACTTGGGGATTTAAATGCACCAAGTTCAACAGAGGAACACTGCAGAGGCTATGCAGAGAGTAGAGCACTCCCAGGCTTTACTTTCGAAGTTGAAACTAATTTCTTCAACTGGAAATTAGCTGTAACCCAGAGCAAAGAATAGTTCTAGCTGCATTGGAAACTACCTTACAGGATACAAATAAAACAAGGGAAAAACAAAATGAATATGTGGGAACTGAGTGCTATGCAGCACAAAGGACAATGCCTTTTGGTTACAAGCCCTGAACATGCCAGGAGGAATTGGAGAGACCCAATTTAATGACAATAAGCCAAAGAACAGAGGCAACACTCATCAGCCTCAGAAAGAGAGGACTGCTGAAGATAAGTGAGATAATTTTGAGCTGACTTACTTTGTATTTTTTTCCTGCAGTCAACTATTACCTGCACACCAGTCTGCAAAATCTGTATCTACATAGTCTTAAACATTTGTTTCTGGAGGATTAAACAATGAAAGTAAAAAAGGACAGTGAATCTCTCACACCCTGTAACTGAGCAATTCTGGTGTACTTCGGAAGTCAAGTTTGGTCGTCTTGTTCTGCAATGGTGGAACTAGAGTGCTGTTCCTTTAACATGGGATGCAACCAAGTCTGTTGGGTTCCTTAACTCTAAGGAGAATGCTTATAGAGCCATCAGTGTCAGCACAAAAAGAAAATACAAAAGTACCTTCAGTTCCACGTTGGTTAGCAAGGGAGGAATATCAGAAGATGACGGCTTTGGCAGGCCCACTGCATCACAAATAGCTTGTACTTCTTGGTAAATTTCATTGTGCTTTTCCACGTGAGAGCCTTTAAGTTGCTTGCTATGCAAAATCTTCAAAGCTTGAAGTTCTGTACTTAGAAATACTAGAGGCAAAAGTGCCATAATGGCAGATTTAGGGAAATTTCAATGGTTTTGTGCCCACACTCTCATACACAAACAATTAGATCATGATATAAGGGAATTGTTTTCTCAATCCTCTCCTAGACAGGCCAGTGTCAGTTCCCCCTTTGCCCTCCTCCCTCACACCCATCTGCTTAACCTCTTCCGTCACCTAGTGCTTCTCCAGCCTCTTAGCTCCCTCACAGATAATAGTTCTGCATTATCACAGAGGTTCCTGCTGCCAGCCCATGTGTTTCTTGTCAAGTCTCAAGTGTTTCCCACCACCATTAACGAATGCCCTCTCTCTCCATACTCAATTTCAACTGGGGCTCCTTTGTCCAGGCTCAGCTTAAACCTACTCTTCGCTCCTCTCAGTCCTGCTTTCAACATCTTCAAATCATGCAGCATTTTCTTTAGAGCTGTCAGGAAAGCTCTCAGAAGAAAAGCAAGATCTCAGTTTCAACAGAGCTGGAACTGGATCAAGAGGGAAACTGGGAGACTTGGTGGGCTGACACATGCATCACTAACAGCTTTGGTTTTACCCCTTCTACCTCTCCCCAGCTGATATGATGAGTGCACAGCTAGCCTGTAGTGATGTCATCCTAGTAGTGGGTACTTACATACACATAAAGAACTACCTAAACTTCAACTTGTACCTTCTAATAATATAAAAGAGAAAAATGATCATAACTTACAGAGCAGCTTAAGACAGTCTTCTTTCTCTCTTAGTCTCTGCTTAATGTCTCCAGATATAAGTGATGAATATGGACATGACATTTCTTTCAGAAAGCCACTAATCTCCAGCTGGAAGCTTTCTATGTCTTTATCACCTGCAGAAATAAATAAATGCAAATTAATGACTTTTCTTTCTTTACAGAAAATACATACATAGCAGAAGAGGAATCAGCATTGATTCTTTCTTTAGAACACCCCTGTCAAATGAACAGCTCTATTTAACAAATGGTGAAGTAATTAATTTTCAGATAACAAGCCACAGAGGCCAAAATAACCAAACCACATGCATGAGGCTGGTTTTTTTCAGTGGTTGTTTTTTGTTTCAGTACTTCATCGTGAAAACATAAGCGGGTATATTCAAATCATATAAACTCTCACCCGAGCTGCTGCACCCCCCAGGTAGCACCAAGACCCAAGCAGCACTTGGTGACTTGCAAGTCACTTGTCTACACGAAGTCCTGGCTGGCACATTGCTCTGCTCTAACTAGCACAAAACACCACGCAGAGCTACTATGCTCAAATGCAAAATATCAAGACAGGGTTACAGACTACAACCACTGATACGCTGTATGCAAGTACTTTCTATACATTCATGCAGTTCTAGAAAAAAAGAACTTCTTTTTTGAAAAACAGTTCTCAAAAACAAAACCATAATGCAAGAACCGTGCACACGATGGCAGAAGTGTCAGGTTGGCTTTCTTCCAGCTTCTTTACTTCTCAACTTCAGCACTATTTTTTAACATGAGCTGAACAATATGGGTCTGAATCCACTGAATAAAACAATAAATAATTTCAATACATTTTCATATACCATCTGTTGAAGTGATGCTCTCTTCCATATTACAAAGTGGCTTTATTTGGGAACCTAACCAAGCACAAAGCTCCAAAAACTCTGGTGAAGCCAAGCCATTTTCTGCTGCTTTCTTCAGGGCTTCCTCCTCCAGCAAAGGACCCGTGTATCTGTGCACAGGGGAAAACAGCACCAAGGAGAAGCAAGTCAAACATGAATGTTTTCTAATCATTTTTAACATAAGCTGGCAGGTAACCACACTCAGACAAAAAGAAACGCCTTTGTAAGGTACTTTTGTCAATGAACATGTAATTCAGATTTTTCGAAATAAACCAGAAAATGCGAGGACATTTGTAAACAAACAAAACGGGCTGCCTGTGAACAGGAGAGGCCCTGCCACAGGCCCTGGGCAGGCACCCACAGTAAACACGCAGTCCCAGGCTTTCCACACACACTGCACTGAGCGGAAACCAAGCAGAAATTCAAACGTGCGGGCCCAGCAATTCTCTCTGCCGGATTTTTAAGCTCCTGCCCTACAGCTTCATAAATAATAACAGACAAGTGTGAATTAACCCGGGTTTGACGCTGTTTCTGCGGATTCCACCTGCACGGGGGCCGCAGCAAGCGCGGCCTCCCCGCTCCTCCCGCCCCGGCCGCGCGGCCTGCGAGGCCGCTTTGGGAGCCGCCTGGGCGGCCGGGAGGCCACAACGGTCGACGGCCCGGGCGGCTCCAGCACCGTTAACGGCGGCCCCCCTGAAAAGCTCCGGAAGGGGGAAACGCTCGGACGCCTCTAAAAGCGCTGTTGAGGCTCTGGAAGCGGCAGGCAGCGCCCGCGGGCAGGGCCCCGGCCCCGGCCTCCCCTCGCGCCCCGCCGCGAGGCCCCGCTCACCCCAGGGCCTCCAGCGCGTCCAAGATGTCGCTCTCCATGGCGGGGCCCGGCGGCAGCTCCTTCATGGCGGCAGCGCGGCCCGCAGCGCCGCGCGGTGCCCGCCTCAAAACGGCCCCCCCGCAACCCGCTCCCGGCGCCGCCGTTCCCGCGGCCGCCCGGCCCCGCCGCGCGGCTGACGTGAGCTCAAACACCCACATTTCAGTTAAAAACCCCTGGGCCGTCCCGATCCGGGCTCGGCCGCCTGCTCAAACATCCCCCAGCTCCCCGAGAGCCCCCAGCAAGAGGCTGCCTGCTGAAGGGGAGCAAAACCGGTTTATTTTAGCCCTGGTCCCCTACGTAGCACCAGTGGGAGCTGCCACAAAATGGCATCCTAAAAGCAAGTGCTGCTGTAGCCATCTGCACCTCTCTTAAACATACTGGGAAGCATTAGTTGGAAGGAAGGAGAAGGGAATTTTGGAAGTAGGCCATCTGCCAATTCATATTACATCTCCACAATTACAAGTTCATGTAATCTTTACCAAAAAAACAAAACACATGGCTCATTTCTACACCGAAGTTAACATGAGGTTAATCTCAACCACTTGCACGTCTAGTTTTATATAAGAGTGTGGCAAGCGAGCGTTACGTGGTTGGCAATGGCCGGAGTGGCATCCCCGCTCCTGGACCTGCATGGAGCTCCCGGGTGGACAGGGAAGGTCGAGCCAGAGGCCACCGGGCCCTGCGTCACTACGGGCACGTTGGCTGAACAGCGAGCGGACAAGCTATAAAAATGGCACCTTTCCAAAGATTCACTCGTTTTGTCCTTTTAATCACCCCCAGATTAAAAAACAAACAAACAAACAAAAAAAGCAACAAAAACCACCCCATATCTTGAATTCAAATGAGAAAATGAGGAGGCAACAGTGTCCATTTCCATGCAGAACAAGTACACATAATTCACAGTACCAAGGAACATGTAGCAGACAACCATCCACCACTAGAGGGGACCATGGGAGCAGGGAAGAAGTGGATTAAACTGCATTAAATGCTTACAAATGTTCTCTAACACAGGCTTGCCTCCATGCTGCGCTGTGCTGTACACGCACAGTTTAAAACTGACTGAGAGAAGATAGGATGCTTAACTCAATGTGAGCAGCTTGTATTAATTAGATAAATTCAGCTGGGCAAAATTTTCGATTTCTGACGGTGGAGGGAGTAAAGGAACTGTCCTCAAACTATTTTCTCGGGGCACATGTCTCTGCAAAGACAGAGGGGAAAGGCCAGACGTGGGCAGTGCTCAACTCCACATTCCCCTCTGGTGAGAGCAGCACAACCTGGGAAGCCACCGCGCACTCACTGCGGAACCTCCGCTATTCCTCCTGCTCCAGGACTCGTCCGAGGGAGCAGTGTTTCTTCACTATCCTCCAGGAGGAATAAAACCAATAAAGCACAATCTAGCTCTATAATGTTACTGATTTAAATACACATAGTTGAAGTTACTGAGATTTTTGTCACTTACTTTAAAAGGAGTAGAACTTGGAACTCTGGAGATAGGAAAAAGGACTAGAATTAGAACTACTGAAGGTACTCCTAATGTATTCCTAGATTTCTTTTTCTTTAAGTGGACTCTTGCACTGAATATATTTATTTGTTGCATATGGCAAGACAGGTGTTGATCATAAACAACCTTACCAAAGGGAAAGCTCTAGAAGTTCGCAGCACCCTTCCCTCTGTGTCAGTTACCCTCCCTGCCACAAAGACAGAAGTATTTACTTCTGCAATTTTTAATTTGTTTGTTTTTAAGATGAGTTCAGAAGACAATTTAGTCTCTAGATGTTTACAGAGGAGAAGGCTTAGTACTGGTCGGTCATAGTTTTGTGGACATTATTCCATTATGAATGAGATGAGGCTGAAGCCATCAGCTACTGCAATATATGCTACTAAGTGAGCAAAAAAACCCAACAACAACAACAAAAATCCCCAGACAAACAGACTTGAAGTAAGTCTTGCCTCTGCTGTAGCAAATGCTCAGCCTGGCAGGACACAGCAATGAATATTCCAAGTTCATATTTCTCATTCTTTCAAAAATAAACTATGCCCGTTTTGCTCATGAGACCATATGGCATGAATCACGTCAGTGAAGCATTCATCACATTGTGATTTACACTGACATTATTTCTCAGAAGTTAAGTGCTGGGGCTTCACTGTGAGGAGCTGCATGTATTGCAGTCTTTCTCCATTCTGTTCCACTTGATTCACTGAAAAATAGTTGTTCATCTTAGCAGAAAGCTAGGGTAACGGGTGAAAAGAACAAGCCCAAAGTGGTTTTGCTTATGAGTTTTCTCATGGAAAATTAATCTCTTCATGAATGTACACAAAATTTTATTCAAGGCTTTTATACTCATATATAATTTATTCACTGGTACCTGTTTCCTTTGGAAGAAAGTAGAGCATAGAAAAGTCTACTTATGCAAACACAAATTTAATTGAAATATCCTGAAGATATAAATGAAGGAGGCATGTGCCTGGGTGTGGGGGCCACCCCAGAGAGATTTTCTGAGGTCAGAAACCTGCTACCACATCCCCACAACCAACGTCAGTCACAGCAGGAGGTTACAGAATATTCCAGGAATGTACAGTGCTAGCCTATGGATTTGTAAAAGTTCTCTCAGCTCATGACTGTCACTTTGTATCACCACCTGTTTCATTTTTCTATGGATCTGCCACATTTGAGTGAAATTTTGGGGGTGGAGATGTTGTTTGTTTGGTTTGGTTTCCTATTACCTTCTTTCAGGTGAGCAGAAAGGAAGATCCTGTAGCAAATCGTAAGATAAAATGATGCCTGTGCTATTCACGTACAGGGTGTGACTCTGGGAAATCAAATCTTTCTGTGCATCCAGTGTTATCTGTCTATTTAAGATGGTAGACCAGGATTTAATGAATTTAAGAAATAGTTATAGTCATCATATACTCTCTTAAACAGATAAAACATTAAGTAGCAAAATGTCTGTCCTATTTAAAATAAAAGACAAGAAACATGTGGGACAGCTATTAATGGTAAAAATTGTTTGCTTCTTAAAAAAATCCAAATCAAAACATTATAAAGTGGCAAATGTCAGGTCCTGAATGTAAAGCTGAGAGCTGCAATGTATGAGACATCAGTTTCACTGGGGCTTGACTCACAAGTCATACTTCACAAATTGTCGCAAAACTGGGTTCTTAACATATTGGAATAAAGATTTTTAACAAGCTCCCATCTGTTAAACCATCAAGTTGGCTTCGTATGATCATGCTTGCTGTTTTAATAAATAGCCGGTATCATTTTTCAGACCACAGCTTCAAATTATTTTGGAGGATTTTAAGTTGCACCAGTTGTGGCCAATCCGGAAAGGTTTGCATTGCTTGTACACTTGGAAGAGGCTGCACCACAACGAGGGGCCAACCTCACGGCCCAGGGACATGGAAGAAAGGCATCCCAGTGCCATTTAGGAAGGGTGAGCTAAGAAGCAACCTCAGGATAGCCACTTCCTTGACTAATGGTACTGCAAATGAGACCTAATTGGTCTCAAACAGGAAGGGAGTGAACCACTAAAGTCCGAAAGGAACTCCCTGTCTGGGAGGTATGTTTGCTGCACAAAAAAGCTACTCTGTTAGCATGGGAAAATGAACTGAGAGCATATTTGTCTTCTTGTTGTATGTGTGTGTCTTTTTTTTTTAATAGCACAAATGAAAATGTAAACAAAGAAATGTGCATGAAATTAAATTCTCTTCTCCCTCTAAAGCCCACTGCAGACACGTTTCTGATTTTAAGGTCTCAGGAGCTGTACACGTGCAGTTTTCAGTGAGGCTGGTCAGGCAAAGGCTGGAATAAGCAAGATTGAAGCCCTACGTTCTGCATCTTGTAACAGAAATCTAATCTCTTTTGAATATCAGAAATTTAATACGCACACAGACATGCTTGTATATATACATATGCACACATAAAAGCAAATGACTAACCTTTATATTTGGGATTGTGGTTAGATTTTAGTTTAGAAGCTTTCTCTTTTAGATGATTCACCTATGCCTTGTTCTTGTGAAAAATTCTTAACCCATTTCTGACGGAGTCTGCTAAAAAAAGAAGTAAGCTATTTATGGAAATCTTATTTTGTTTGGTTTTCAGGCTATAGGCCTTTTTTAAGGAGTAAGTCAGCCTTTTGGTTTTCTTTCACCCTCTTTCACCCCCTCTGTTGCTGTTCCCTGAGAGCCGTGGGTGGCCGATGAAGCAGCGACTATCACATGATGTCACTTAGCAACCTGATGTTCATAAATAGCAACAATCACTTTTGCAATGGCGATTTTTCCCCATCAGGAAAAATGCTTAGACCCATTCCATTCTGATAGTGCCAAATTCTTCCTCTGACCTTCTAGTATATTTATTGCTTGCTCTTTCCTTTTTTGGCGGGTCTGATTCCAAATGATAGCAGCTGATGTGCTTAGAAGGCTTCTCATATATTTCTGAGCTCAGTAATAACAGAATAATTTTTAATAACATCTAAGCTCGTTAATAATAGCCCTCTCTCGCTTCCCCCAAATGCCTGTACTGCATAAAGTTCAGCTGACCTCAATGTGCTCTTGCCTGGATGACATCAGAAGGGCTATCCACAAAGGATTTTTTTAACATATCTTTTGGGAATATGCAGGAAGCTGAGAAATTTTTCAATTCTTTCAGAAAGAATCTGGCAGGATTTGCATGTGTCCACTTAATATTCATACAGTTCTTTAAAATATCAGATGGGCCGTCAAAGAAGTGCCTTTGTTAAATGGCAGATGTTTGCCAATAGTGTCCCGCCACAGGAGCTGCTAAGACAGAAGCAAAAGATAAGATTATAAGCTAATAAATGTACAATTGTGCACACCCTTGAAAAAAGATCTTGCAAAATTTGATTAGGAAATACAACAAAGTTATGCAACAGCCTAAGCCTAGCTTGTCCCCAAGGAGATCTCTGTCTGAGAATGCAGTAAAAAAAACCCAAATACTCTGTGCAGCATCAGTTCCCCTCTGCCTAACCATATGGTCGCTCCTTGAAGAGTTGGGGGCTCTGTA